CGTTTAACTCTTCCCCGTGAGAAAGGCGTTCGACAATGAGGCAGATTTTCCGAATCTAAGATCCCTTTAACGGAGAGAGGCTGTCACAAATTGTACTCTCTCGAGCATAAATGTGAGACTGTGAAGGGACCCAGACGAGATACTATAATTCGGTATGAAACGCGTGGGGTAGGGTACGGGGGAGCACGAGGCTGCTGGTTTTCAAGGATAAAGCTATTGGAATCGGTCGAACCACTCGGCTGATTATTGGCATTGTCGTCTCTTTTTCGGAAGCCTGTCGTCCCGTCCTCCACGCTGTCGAAACATTCCTCGCGAAATATCACGCACGATTTTATTTACGCCGATCCGAACTTTCGAAACGACGAGAGAGATATCGCGTTCGATATTCAATTTCATACCAGCCCGATCGTTGGAAAATTCAGAAAAAAAAAAAAGAAAAAAAGGAAAAAGGAAAAAATGGGTGCACAGTACGGGAACGGCAATCTACGATTTTCCATGAAATCCTAAAGTGCCGATAATTATTTAATTCGCGATACACACGTCGAAATTGCAGCTGCAAGTGTGCACACGCGCGGCTACGCAAGAACGCATCGATTTCCAATTTTTCATCCTTATCCAAGCGATCTTTAAGGCGAAACGGCTCTCCCTAGCCGATTCATTTTGCATAACTTCAGTCAATGTTGCTCGTTCGCTTACCTCCTGTTTCTCTTAATCATTTTACTAGAAACTACCGTATCATTGTTGTTCGGTTAGATGGAGCGTGATGTAACATTAGTCATCGGCAGCTGGGACGGCGTTTATTAATCGTTTTATCGCGAGATCCGTGATTACCGATTACACGCCGATCCAATGTTACCTTGGCGAGTTGGGCCCAGCGAGCGTAAGGCCTCGCGCGCACGCTTTGTTCGCGCAAATTTTTCGCCGAGCTACGCCGAGGCCCCGGGGTCTCTCGTTGTGTCACGTAAACGGAAAAAGCGAGTTAAAATGGAGGACGGAACGGCGCTCAGCAGCCGTTTACCCCTTTTACGTATCTCTAACACCGTCTTGAGCATCGCGGCGCTTGGCATATTTTCGTCAAAGTAAACGTCTCTGGCATTCTCCCCGAGGGAATGCCAAAGGTCAGCCGAAAATTTAATAAGTAAATTACTCGAGGGAGGGCAACGAACGACGCGCCAAAGGGGTGGTCCATTTCCAAAGTATCCGATCCTATCGGCTAGTACTTGCGGAGACCAGGATACGCGTAATTCCACGTATTTATCTCGTATTTTAATTTTGTATCGATAGATCGGACGATGAATAGGATTCTAAAAAGGTTGAAATAATTCTCGACGTATGGAGATCCTAGAATACGGAAGAAATGCGATTTCGATGAAGAACCTCTGGACTTTCACCTTTTTTTCTTACACACGCGATAGAACGAGCAAAGATTTCTAATTTTTTCCCAACGGAATATTAATAACCCTCGAATTATAGTAATTAAGACAGTGACCAAAAAGTCGTCGGTTTCCTTTTCGCCTCGTATTCTGGTCCGCGCGTGTAATTACGTAGCCTAGAACCCTGGCAGAGACTCGAAACGACGTGTCCCCTTGAAAGTGTCGGAGCTGAATCTCGCATCGTTGTCGTTCTCGATACCGATGGCAGAGATACCGAACCGAAAACTCCAAGGGTGACAAGAGTCGACGCATAGTCGTAGTAAGTTTCCTAACTATGATCAACTATGCAAGACGCCATTACTGCGTGTAGTTTGGGAAAGGAGTTTGGGACTTTGTGTCCCGTCTACAACTATCTTCTTGGTACACCGAAAGTCCCCTCTGAACCGTGGTAATCGCCTAACTCCGCAGAAATTTCGCTACGCCTGCTTTAAGACCTGCGATGCTCCGAATAAGATTTCGCGTGATTATTCGCGATAACGATTAAATCGAGGGGGCGATTAGAAGCGACGTACGCGAAAATTCGGAAATTTTTGGGAAATTCGAGAAATTGAAAAATTATCTTGCAATTTTCTATACAGCGAGTGATTTAAAGACAGTGGAAAGAATTTGTAAGCACGGAGATAAATTCCAAAAGTGGTCGGAAAAGTATTCCAAGGATTTGCTCGATATTTCGCGAATCGAGAGATTGCATCGGCGTAAGATTTCATTGAGAACGAGGTCGGCCACCCTCCTTTGAAGAATGTGCTTTGGGCAGACCGAGATAGGGTACAGCTTGGGGTTGTACAGCTTGAGATAATCGATATCTCAATCTCGCGAGATGGCGAAGTATTTTAAAGCAGAGTCTCTGACAGAATATTCCACGTATTTACATGCGAGAATGCCAAACTGATTTCCTCCGAAATTTACAGGAAAGATGGATCGATCCTATCTTCCACGAATCGTTGCTATTTTATTTAAACGAAGGATGACCACGTAACACAAAAATTAATAGAAAATACACTACGATTGTGTCTATCAAGGAGATCAAATTAACAACCCCTGTTTATTTATGATTATAACGAATGAACGTGAATTTGCAACGCGTATACAGAGAGTCGATGACGATACTCGCACCAATGGTGACTTACTCGTTTCACATGGCGCGAAATAAACAATTTCCGATAGAGAATTACATACACATCATCCAAGCAACACGAGACTGCATATGGCGCAGACAGATGCGTTAAACCGAACCCGCTTTTCTCTTCTCATGGCCAGAGTTTCGAGCTAAACTAAACGTATTCTTCGGCCGCGTGTCGAATTTCGACAAACCTGGTCTTTTTTGCGCGAACGTCACACGACACCTATGGAAACCGCCCAAAACATAATCCACAGCGTGGTGAACGCGTCCCGTCGCTGTAATTAGGGTGATACTTTCATAAAAGCTATTGGGGTAAGGTGTACCGCAAATACTATTACCCTGAGCGTTATTAGAGGTCCGAAGTTGCACCCTAAATACGCGGTAGCACGGTGTTACGTTACTGCGAACAGGGCTTTGTATTCCACGTACGGAGTTTGTTTGGGACGGTAAATCTTTCCAACAATTCGCACTTGCTTTTCGATTATCGCGTATTTGTCACTTTTCCTAGGTTATGGTATTTAAAAAAAAAAAAGAAAAATAATTTTTAAAAGAACGGTATATTATTCGACGAAATATAGATACTCTCCGATGACAGAGCGGAGTAAATACACGTCGTAAAAGAAAACCGAAGAGTGAATAATTCCGCTTAACATAAACCGAACAGAATCCTCGGTCGATGGACTTGTAAACTGACCATAACATCCATCATGGATAATATTACTATACCGGGGACATAAAAATTCCTCGCGACATTTACAGAAACGTTTTAGAAGCATGGCAGGTGGAACATCTTTTTCTTTCTTTCGCGATACGCGTATCGAGAGACGAGCAAATACAGATTTACTGTATCGAGTGTCTACTGCTCTTCCTCTAGAAGGTGTACCGCGAGTAATCAGAGTCCGCGTTTATACGTATCTCTCGCGCTAATTTCTCAGGAATTAGGAAGTATCGTAATATCTACAGAAGACGTATACTTTCTACGATGTTCCACTATCTATTATTATTATCAGTTCATACGTGATCATCCGAAAGAGATTAAAAACCGAAAGCAAGATAAATTGCACGCGAAGAAGAAGTCTCGGTTCTATGGTCGATGTTCGGTGCTGCGAAGACTCTTCCTGTTTTAACAGGTAATCCTAAAGTCCTCGTTTAACCCACTCGTAACCCTGACGAGGCATGGGTGATGGTCGATACTCGTGCAAACACGACTGGCGGAATAGATTCCCTACTCCGCAAGCCGAGGAAATAGACCGTCTACCGAGGAAAGGCCACGACTATGCCACGGTCAGACCATGCTCGTTCGCTTACCGACTATTCCCGCTAGAGCAAACAATTCTCTCGCACCTCTTCAAACAAAAAGGTCCGCTGCAGGTACACTTAACCCGCGAGCCACGCGGAGAGAGGCAGAGAACGGACAAGAAAGCGAGATGTATCCGCGAGGCAGAAAAATCCGATCGGATCGGGAAGAAAACGTCCCGTTCATCCTCGACTTCCTCCTGGCCGGTTCTTCCGACCGGTTGATCCCGAGAGTCGCCGGTTTCTTTCGAGTTACGCTAATACCTGACCGCGGTGCCGCCACCCCAGACCGGGGACAGGCACGCAGAACCGTGGCAAATGCAAATGTCGCGCGTCCCGAGTCCTCGCGTGCTCTCCGTGGGATCAACGATCGCAATCACCGATGTCACGGCCCGACTTATTGGCCGCGATACGTCTAATAGATCGATAGTCGGCCATTATTACGCGTCCCCCTGCTGTTCAGCCGCCAGCGGCCAGTCCTTACAAATAACACGCCGCGCGCCTTTTCTAATCAGCCGGCCGGACGTGCACGTGACCGGATCTCCGCGCGCTTCGATTTTACGCGCACCCGCTCCATCCGACCGATCCGACGCGTGTACCGGACCACACCGACGATTTTCCGCGGCAATTTCAACCGCTCGACCACCCGGTCGCCCTCGTCGCTTGTCGGATAAATTTCATTTCTACGCTTTTCCCTACTTCTATTTCGTTTTCTGCTTCGTTTTACCGGATTACGGACTAACGCGTACTACGCGGCTACTGAATAACGCTCCTGGGCCTTAGGGTGCTTTGGTACCCAGGGCCGTCTCACGTGCACTGGACCTTTTATCTGTACTGTACTGAACTGTAGTGTACTGCACTGTACTGTACCGCGAGTATTCGTGGAAACGAAAATCCAGACATCGAATTTATATGGAGCGTACTATCTAGCATGCCCGTGCATTAAGACGGCCCTGAGAGTATCGTATACCAGTACACCGGAATGGGACCAGTGTCTACTCGAGAAGCTGGAAAAATAACGCGAACGTCGTACTTTTCTCATGGCGGAAATTAAAAATGGTACTCGCGCGTGCACCCACAGGTGACTCATGGCGCAAAGCCGACTCGAAGGGGTTAAAGCGTAGCGATAATTCATGGAAGAAATTACTCACCACGTGGATGCCCTCTGCGTCCCTCCTGAGATCGCCGCTCCTCTGGCCAGCCGTGACAGCGGCGCTCAAGTGATTGTAGTGATGTTGATGCAACGTGTTGAGCGTCTGCGTGTACGGATCGCCGACGAGGTAATCGAGATGTTGCGGCTGGCCGAGGCCCGGATGTTGAGGACTCGCCGGCGCATGGTGGTGCGAGGGGAACGGGGGCGGGAAGTACGGTGGTTGAAAGTCGGAGGCGGTGGGCAACGACGCACCCCCGTGATGGGGCATCCCGCTGCCGTTTCCATTGCCTCTGTGACCGTGGTGATGGGCGCCTGAGTACGGCGAGGAATTTCCACCGCCCAGCGAGGAAATACCCCCGTGACCAGTTAATCGGTCCTGTGAACAGAAAAATTCACTGAGTTAGTATATTGGAACGCAAAGACAGTCTGTGTCAGGTCTGACGTGTCACTCGTTTATGGTTCCCGGTGTTAGAACCATAGCCTATTAGGCTAGAACCTAGAACTATTAGGGCCTTTTCCCTTTTCTACTTCGCTTCTATTGGAACAGGGGGGCAGGCAACAGTTACTTCACTGTAGACACGAGTATTTGTGCTAATAGGTATATTAACAAAACCCGTTATTAATAAATATATTTTTGTTATAATGGAATCTATTCGTCCCGAAAGACGAATAGAGTAATATAACGAATATGGGGAAATTAGAATAAGAGAAATGGGTGCCTAATATCTATGGTATTCGACAGCAGAGCTCGAGTATTAGTCGTTCGATGATCGACATTGGACTTTTCGCGTAACCTTCTTACGATTTACTCGCTTTAAAGGTTCATCGTTCCAGATTTTGCGCGATCCGGTTCACGCGAAGCACTCGAGATCCACGTGTAGCATCGTCCTGGTCCCGAAGCGAGGATTCAAACCTCGAATTTTTCAGGCTGTCAGCGTTGCGACACCGCTGAAAATCTATTGGCACCGTAATCGAGCTTAATCGTGTCCGACGACCTCGCGCGTCGGAGCGCGCCAAACGAAAAAGAAAGGCGGAAAATAAAAAGTAATAACCATAATAAACGCGGGCAGGGATACGCGTTCGCCGACACACGCTCGCGTTCGTTGTCGAGCGCAACTTTCGCCGCTATTAAAAAATTGCTGGCCACCGGTAATTGCCGGTGACTAATGTATGCCGGCTTCGAGGGAGAAGAAAGGAAAGAGAGAGAGAGAGAGAAGAAAAAGAAAAAGGAGAAAAAAGAATCGTGTCAGCCGCGTTGGAGGTCTGCCATTACTATAAACGACGAGTATATGGGACAGTGGCGCTTATTCGCCGAAGGTGGCGAACATAAACGCGAATAAACGCTATGCAAATCTTTCGGCATCGAGCACAGCTGAACGCAAATAGCTCACGGGCTGAATATGACTCTGCCATACATCTTTCCCGAGAAAATCGTAACAAAGTGAAACAAGCCAACTCGAGCCTCGTCCTCGATAACGCGATTAAGTCGTTAGACGCGATAAACGCTCGCGAGAAACTCACCCCTTTCGACCGTTCGTAAAATGCGATTTGAATTTTCCCGCTCTTTCCGTGATCTTCCACGATTTGTCCCCTGTCCGTCGATAACGGACGACACGGATAAGAAAATTTGCCGGAATTTTTTCCACGCTCACGAGGCCAGGTAAAAAGCGTTTGGGCGAGGTTTTCGGGACCAGAAGAAGCAGGTGATGAGATCGACTTTTTGCACTTCGTTTCGTCGTCCAGTCTGTTGGACACGTTTTTCTACAGAGGTTGTAAATTTAATCGAATCAAATTTGCCGTCGTGAGTTCCGAGATGTACCTCTTCGCGATCTAATGATATCAATCGATCTCTCGAATGCACGCGACAGGTAGCCGACCATGGTTGATCGAACAGATAATATTTCGTACGATAATCTTCGTAATTATTTCCACTAAATTATATTTCTCGGATAAAAATTCTATAAAATCACTATTTTCGTATTTTTGAAACGCTCTTGGCACGGTAGGAGGAATTAGTTCGGAATCGGTGTAACAGAAACGTAGGAGCTTCCGGTACCCCGTAAAAAGGCACGAAATTACAGTGCTCGAGCGTTGTTATAGAAAGTCTATAAGTCTTCTATAATCACCTTGCATCGCTGTTAAGCGGGCAGAGAATTTTTACGAGCAAATAATTATCGGCCGTGTTCGATTATTAATTTCCCGCCATTTTAGGTGCACCGTCTTGTAACGTTCCAGCTACTTTCCTCCGAAGGATCTTGCCGATTTTTCCCCGACGCTGTTACAAGATTTCGATAAGTATCTATCTGCAAAGAGCTAGAGATATCGGGGACTCTATGAACTATCGATTGTATGAAATATCAGTCACGAATCGCAAGATCATCGGAGCAAATTGCCGAGCTGTGATTAAGCATGTTTCACCTTTGAAAATGTAGCGAATTGTACGCACGACTGGACTTTTCAGGCGGCATAATTGCTAGAAACGGAACGAAAAAAAGTGTTATTACGAGATTATTCATTCCACTCGTTGCAGCCTGTTCGCGAAAAAATCGCGCGATTTTCTGCGATTTTCGAGCGGAAATTTTTCTCGAGAAATTAGAATGTTCGCTTCGAAGATATGGGGTCCCGAAAATTTAAATCTCGCGTGAAAATTGAGAATAGAAAAGGCGACGAACGATAACTGTGATTTTCGAAATTTTTCAAAACCATCGCGTGTGCCCCGAAAATTTTTCGGATCGTGAAAACGCAACTTAATCCTGCCCGCGTGATCTTTCGATCGAACGATTACGGTATTACACAGACAGATAGCATCAGCCGGTGATTTATCTGAATATCGGCAGAAAGGCTCCGTATCGACGCTATGCCGGTGCAAGCCATTAGGTTTACGTTCCCGTGATACGATCTCGAACATCTTTATAAGCCGCGAAAGGGCCAACGCGTACCTTTTTCCCCATTCGCGTGTCGCTCTATTCGCAAATGTCACGCGTCCATTCCAATTATCCGAGACGATTTAAAATGGACGCCACTCGCGAGCAAGGGGAACTTCAATTCGCGATAGCGTGATTAATCGTGCGACGAATCTAAAATTCTTTTTCTCTATCATCGCCTGTTCTGAATTCTCGTATAATCTCGTATAAAATTTAATCCTTAGGAGTGGGCCTAAGTCGCCATTTAATTAAACTCCGAAAATCGATGTCAATTAACGTAACAAATCTAAAATAATCCAATAATGGATAGAATTTTGAAATAAAATAATCCAAGGTGTCAATTAGTACTCGATTTCTTCTTTACCATTTTAGAAATATCCTCGACTTGGAATTTGCTATTCTTCTGCCACGAAAAAGATCATCGAGTGCAAGATTCTCCAAATTATACCTAACGATTTTATAAATCGTTTCGAGTTAATAATAAAATTTTCCAACCCAATTACACTTTTCTCTGGCCAAGAAGAGAAAGAATTCTTGAGAATTTAAAAGAAAATTATTTCTTCCTCCATCGATAAATTACGCTGAAAAAACAAATTGGAGTAATCTTGGAGTAAAAATAATAGCACTCAATTCCTCATCCCTTGGTTAATTTCATCCTGAAAACTCTCTCTCTTTCTCTCTCGGGTCCTTTCGGAGGTCAAGTGCGCGCCACCCATGCAGGGTGTAAAATGGCGACGCAACAGGAGGAAGAATTCGATTATCGAGGAGGCAGTCGGTAACGGAATTTAACGACGGTAGGCCGAAAATTGAACGGAAAGGCCCGTTATACGTAGATGGGGACTCTCGCTTGGTCAAACACGTGACTCCTAATCTGCCCGATAGCGGCGTTTAATGAGACAAAATTCGGCTTTGTCGCTTTCCCAGTCGCTTTCCAAATCGGTGTTTCGAAAGACGACATCGGTGGGCCTTGGTCCCGGGGTCGTTGCAACAGACCACGGTACGCGTTCGTTCCATACGAAATATTTGTCGTCGTTTAACGAGCCGCGTCGTTACGAACTCGAGGGTGGGGGAAGAGTACCGTTTCTTTTTCGATGCCAAACGGGGTCCATTAAGGCGTATTTCAATTTGCAGTAACGTTTGTTACTCCACCATTATAGGTCCGACTTTCACGTGTCGGGCCCAGACACGCGCCTCCAATTTCTCGCGTAGTTAAATATACCCGATTCGAATTTATCGGCTCGTTAAATTTCCTGATTTGAATAAGACCATCGTGGAAACGTTCGAGTCCGTTTCACTGTCGTTAATATCCCTTTGATTATCGTCATTGGGCATTTTATGCTCGTCGGAGGCTCGAATATGGCCGTTTTTCGGGGATCCTTCGCGGCCATCGCGCGAAACGGTCCGCTGGTCGGGGCCCAGGATAGTTTAATCGGGAATTCGACGGGATGTTTCGCGTATTCGGGAAGAGAAAATGAAAATGTACGAACACGATGGCGGAAATCGTTCGGAGAGGCATAAAAGCTATAGTCGTGTCGGTGGCGAGTCGAATCCGTGGGTATCGGTATTACGATGGAGGAATAGGCTGAAAGAGTTGGACGAGTTTGTTGGCGCAGCAGCGGAAGAGACGGTAATTATAACAGGAGAAGATTACGACGATATTAACGAGTTGAAAAAATAACGATTACGATAATATTCCGGCTATTATCCGTTTCCGAACAATTATACAGGGATTAACCTGCTCGGTTAATCGATAATTTCAGTTGCAAGATAATTTCAGCCCGTTACTCTCCGAATCGTGTCCTTGGAGAGAGCAAGAATCATTCGGCTATCGGCTCTACCACCGACACACCGTCGTCGTAGAAGATCGATCGAGCCGAGGAAATTAATTTAAGAAGTCGGGGAACCGCGTAGATCGCGGCGAAAAGGAAGAGGAGGGAAAAAAGAAAGAGAGAAGGACGATCGTTTAATAACAAGCTCGATCAAAACGATCTGACACGATACACGCATAAAATTTCGGCCGGCGAGCAACCTGCAAACGGCCGATTCATTTCACAAGACGCATAGCCGAACTTTCCAGCTGAGATCGCTATTGATAACGCCGGGAGAAATCGTCCTTCTTGCCACATATGACAAGTAGACAATTAATAACCAATAAGTCGGCCCCATGTGTCGAAATCGACAGATCGTAGATTACGAATAAATAACTAGGAAAGAAATTAAGTTCGTCCAACGTTCACGAGGACCCCCTTTTACTCGTAGTATCCCCGTTGACCGATTCGAACGCCCTGTCATTTTCGAGCTCAGCTGCTTCCTCTATATTTATATCTACGTTATTTTATTCTCTCGCTGACACGTTATCGATGATTAATAAATTTTCCTGTACTTGGAAGATAATAAAAAGCACGATCAAAGCTCGACGATCTCTCTTTACACGGATGAAATGAAATTTAGC